TAAAAGAAACCTGTACTAAGAAATAGTTTGTGGACTAAAAGCAGGATTCAGAGAGAAAATAGAGATCTTGAGGAAGGCTGGGCGGGTGATTGTTGGCACCTGTGACCTGAAACCAGAAAGGAGACTACTGGGGAGACAGGATGTAAGGCTGGATGGAGGTTGAGGGGCAGTAAAGCATTAGGCCCAAAATGATAACAGGAACCACAGAAGCAAGTTATGCATGACAACTCCATCATTGAATCTAAGGCCAAGCTGATTGGTTAACTTAAAAGGTAAACACAAACAAAAATATAGAAACAGTTTCTGGGGCCTGAGACAATAGTTCTGTGGTATCCCACTTGCTAAGCACCCACACTCCCATGGGGTTGATCCTTAGGAGAAGAAGACAGAATGGAGGACTGAGGGAAGAAGGAAATGCACACAATGTAGTCTCTGCACCGTCTTCTAAGATCTACATGCCTTTGTCCTCTCACATCCAGGTCTTCATTTACATTACGTTGTGTAAGATATCAAGTAAGGTTCTCTTCAGAAGCTTATATACTTCCTTCAGCAAACATCATGTGTGACTGTCCAGTCTTTTCCACTTGGCTGATTCCAGTACCTTTGCATGGGTGGGCTGGTGGTTTCTATGCTCTCTGTTACATACCATGATATTTTAGCTATCTTTTTGAACTAGGGCACCTCTAATACAGGTTAAAGCCCTCACTGTCATAATTGCCACACAAAAGTAGTGTCAAGCACAGTACTTGATAATGGTGACAACCATGATATCAAAGGCTCTTGGCTATTTTGGGCTCATTTCAATCCTCGTTTAAGCCAGCAGTTCATCCTAAGATGGTATGAAAAAAAACACCATAGTTTGTGATTCTCATTAGGAGTTTTAAATTTAATTTCATTGTTTTATTTATTCACTTTACACCCTCTCACTGTCCTCCACAAAAATCCTTCCCAAAGATTCCTGCCCCTTCTCCTTGTGGGGGTGGGGTCCCCACTACTTATCCCTCCCCACCCACCCAGACTTCAAGTCTCTGTGAAGCTAGGCACTTCCTCTGCTGCTGAAGCCAGACACCGAAGCACAGCGAGTAGAACATATACCATGTACAGGCAATAGCTTTCGGGGTACCCTCTGCTCCAGTTGTTCAGGACGCTCATGAAAGCCATGGTGCACATCTGCTACATATGTGCGAGGAGGCCTAGGCCCAGTTAGTATGTTCTTTGGTTGGTGGTTCAGAGTCTGAGAGCTCCAAGGGTCCAGGTTAGCTGACTCTGTTGGTTTTCCTGGAGTCCATGATGGTGTGATAATAGTCCCTTTCAGGATGGAAGGATTGGTTTATCCTCAATTCCTGAGTCTCCTCTTAATAAGATCCCTTGCATTTAAGAGTAGCGTTGTATATAAAACTCTAAAACATGTTTAAAGATGGAGCCTATAATTAACTTTTGAAAATCTCTTACATATATACAATGTATCTTGAAAATATCCACCCTCAATGCTTCCTGCCACTCCCCTGGGATCCCATCCCACAGGCACATATCATATATCTCCAACCACCTGCATGTCCTCTTCTGGGTTTCTTTAAAATGTAGAACTAGAACTGTTAGTATTGCCCATATGCACTTGGGTGTGCAACCAGCTACGTGAACCTGGGCAATCGACTGTAAACCACGGGTCTGAAGAACAATGACTCCATCTCCAAACGTCCATCATCTACCAAAACATTTTCTACCAGGATAAGGGGCCTCTTGAAACAGTTCCTCAATACATGAGGAAAAGTGACTGACTCGATCTTATGTACTTTTTTAATTAATCATTTTATTCCTTTACACTTCAAATGATATCCCCCTGCCTGGTCTCCCCTCAACAAAACCCCACATCCCATCCCCCCTCCCCTTTGCTTCTATGAAGGTGCTCCTCCACCCACTCACCCACTCCCACCTCACTGCTCAAGCATTCCCCTACACTGGGCCATCCATATTCCAAGGACCAAGGTCGGCCCCTCCCATTGATGCCAAATAAGGCAATCCTCTGCTACATATATAACCAGGAGCTATGGATCCTCCATGGGGGTTTAGAACCTGGGAGCACTGAGTGGTCCAGTTAGTGGATATTGGATTTTTGTTTGTTTGTTTGGGGTTGCAATCCCCTTCAGCTCCTTCAGTCCTTCTCCTATCTCTTCCATTGTGTCCTCTTGCTCAGTCCGAAGATTGGCTGGAAGCATCCAAATCTGTGTTGGTCGGGCTCTGGCACATCCTCTCAGAGAACAGCCATACCAGCAATTACTTCTTGGCATCAGCAATAGTGTCTGGTTTTGGTGTCTGCAGATGAGATGGATCCCTAGATGGGGTGGTCCCTGTATGGCCTTGCCTTCCATCTCTACTCCAGTTATTTTTTTTCTGTCATTCCTTTAGATAGGAGCAATTCTGGGTTAACCATTTTGAGATGAGTGGGTGACCCATCCCTCAACTGGGGGCCATGCCTATCTACTGGAGGTGGTTTCTACAG